TTTGTGAGAGTTTGTAATGTGCCCTTTCATTTTCTTTAAGCTGTTATTTTCTGAACAAAATGTCTTTCAATTATTATGATCAAATTTATTATTTCCAGTTCATGCTTTTTATGCTTATTCAAGGTTTAGAAACATTCATCTAAATATTTCACTAAATATTTCAAAGCTTTGTTTTGGACATTGAGTAGATTTTTTAAAAATAATTATTTTGAAATAACTTCAAACTCAAAGAAAAATTGCCAGAACAGTGCAAAGAACTCCTATACATTTCACCCAGGGATTCCCCAATTATAAGCATTTTACTGTTTGATCCATGCTGTCTCTTTATTCCTATTATCACTATTCCTTTTTGGAATCTTTTGAGAGAAGCTGTAGATATGTCTCATTGCCCCTAAACACGCTGGTGTGTTTGCTCCCAAACGAGGACATCCTCCTTTATAATCAGCACACAACTCTCCAATCAGGAAATCACATTGGTCCAAACTAATGTTAATTCACAGACTCCATTCGGATTTTACTAACTGTCCCAACAATTTCTCCAGTCTTTTGGTTTAGAATCTTAACTAGGAACACAGGCTGCATTTAGTTGTCATTTCTGTTCTGTCTCAATGTGAGTAGGAACCACATCAGTATTCACTTTGTGATAAATCAATAAGCTGTGTGCATTGTTCTCTGTGTATATTTCATAATAAAATGTTAATTTTTGAATAAAATATTTATTTTTAAATAGAAAGTTAATCACATTCATACATTTCAAAGATAGTATTTCCTCCCAGAATTCAAATGTCTGCATTAAAATCAGGTTTCTTTAAGGCCTTGAAATTTCAACTAATTTTGAAGCAGTGATCAAAGAGTGAAAAATCACCTTACCAAGTAAAAGATGCAAAGGGAGACCCAGGTCTCTGAAAGCAGAGCTTTGTTAGGACCCTTACCAACATAGCTCCACAAAAATTTCATCCTCCTCCAAATGTATATCATTGTTTTAAAATGGTATAGTTGTTATCATTTTAAATTTAAAAAGCTATACATTTATCCAGCTGGTGTGGCTCAGTGGTTGAGCATT